TATATATATATAATAAAATAATTTAAATTTTCAATTTCAAATTTATAATATATTGTCTAGATATAAAAATATATTATTTATTTTTAAAATATTGTTTAGAATTAGAAATATTGTATTTATTTTAGGAATTTATTTGTTAGAATGTTAGGTTAATAAATAAAGGTTCTTGAGATAAGAAGAATTACTTGATATATAGGAGGGTTATCGATTTAAATGAAAGAGAAGACTATGTAAAGAAGGATTTTTCAAATTTCGTCAAAAAATTTGTGAGAATAAATTTTCAAGTTTCATTCAAAAAAAAATTAAAAAGGAGAATTTTTAGAAATATATGTGTAATATATTTTGAAATAATGAGCATGTGAATATACGCATAAATAATCCAATCACCTTAAATAAATTGGATGATTTTTCTTTAATTTTATGGTGTTTTTATGTGTACTTTTATTATTGTTGTACATAAAAAAAAAGAATTTTTTTCCTTCAATATATATTATAACTTTATAAAGGCCAAAAAATTTGAAGAACCTATCCTTAAATAGGTTAATATGCTTATAGGGTAATGTGTTAATAAATAAATAAATAAGTATTTATAAGTGGAATGGCTTGTCAGCATACTAATTTGTTTTTCTTCTAAAAGTTCAAAATGTGACTTATTTAATTAAAAGGCTGTATTTTATATTGTCACAAGTTTTTGTCTTTAAATAATTTTTTCATGTATTTTGTCTCCATGACACCTATTCTACCTCAACACACAAAATAAAATAATACAAAGAAATAAAGAAATAATTCTACAATAAAAGTAAAATAGTTCACATAATACTTTCAAAATGTACTTCAATATCCAAATGATTCAAAACAAAGTTTTGGAAAATAAAAGTTCATAAAATGTTTCAAAGAAATAAATGTAAACTCCAAATGCAATATAGTTCATGTCCTAGAAGCCCCTTGTCCTGATGTTACACCATCTGAGCACACCCATGACTTAGTTATTGACATCTTGAATGTCACTCATGTCCGAATTTTCGTCACCTAAACACAATCACAAGATGTACGGTGAGAAAAGAAAACATTTATATGTGAAATTGTCAAGTGGGTCACCAATTTATTTAGGCTCACGTTGATTAAAAAGTAAAATAAAAAATAAAAATAAAATAAAAAAAGTCCAATATGCTAATTGTATTAGCTCTTGGTATGCATTGTATCTCTTTGTGAAATAGAGAGAAGAAGAAAAATTCTGTGAGAATGAGTGGAGCAACCAACTTTAGAGAAGAAGTGTTTGATACCAATTTTTGTATATTTTGGTTCTCTCTATTGTTTGGTTAGATACCTATTTAAGAATTTTATTGTATTATTATCCACCATATTGGTGAGGAGCTATTTCTAGCAATCCTTAGGGATTCCAGGAGGAATTGTGGTGTATCCATTGATTATTATTAGTGGAATTTTTACTGGATTAGGTCTTGTGGGTTTTTTACCTCACATTGAGGATTTTCCCACATTAAAAATTTGGTGCCTGTTGATTTCTATTTTTCTGTTTTGTGCATTTTGCTGAAATTATTTTGTTACTTCCAGAGCATATTATTTTTATACAGGGAAAAAGGATATTCAATTTTGCTACCACTTAATTGTTATTATTCTGGTTATCATTCCCAACGGAAACACACTAGGAATATCCACAAATAGTTTCAATGCCACATATTATACGATCATAAGTTTTCCAACATCCATACATGTTAAATTTAACCCAATATTAAGTCAATATATTCTATCATCACATCCCAAAACAAACAGATACACAAATCATCCATATCCACCATATTACACAACTAGCACCGTGTCATGCTCACGCCACCGCTGTTGCATCACACGCCTAAGGAGAGTTATAATAACACCGATGTAATTTTTACTAAGTATTACACCGCTCAATAACTTTATATTAAATGTGAATTTTGTAAATTCAACCGTTAGATTGAAATTTCATATAACTTTATATGTGTATATCAAATTTTGTTAAAATTGAACAAGAACTTGAAGGTAATCAAATTATTCATATTTTAGTATATTTTGAAATGTATATATTAGGTCAATTTTGTTTTATAAGAATGAAGTATCAAATCATTTTGGATTAATATAAAATTTTGTATATATGATCTAAGAGTAAAGAACTTTCAATCTATGGTTGGTTTTACAAAATTCACATTTAATATAAGGTTATTAAGTAGTGTAATACTTAGTATAAGTTACGCCGGTATTATTATAACCCTCCTCTTGTAATAATTCGACAACTTATTTCACTTAATACAAAACAGATACTATGCAGTAAAAAACATAAGGAATTTACTAAGATAGGATTATCATACAATACTAATTGGACATTCAGTCAACATATATGTATAAGGTGCAGAAAACATA